CAGAGCAGGTTCTGCCTGTGGCAAGGAAATCTCACCCTGGAGTGGGGTTCCTGCTTTGAGACTCATTCCTGAGTCACTGTTTGGTTAAGGATTGACATCTGCTCATAGTTGTTCTTCTCACCTTGTTGTTGGGATTGATGTAAATAGTTTTAAATGGGTCTGTAAGTAATTTCCCAATGTGTGATGACTCAATAGGCTACTCCTAGAGAACATCACTCAACGTTCTGATGTCTCCTACTCACAGATAGAGTGTCTTCCAAGCTCTCATGCCCTTTAAGTGTTAGGTAAGCAAAGGGTTTCAGAGTATGGGGAGAAAACATCCCCATTTCTGGTAGTCTGGAAGGGGGATAAGGATGTGGACTATCTCAGTGTTCTGAGATGGAATAGGGGTGGGTCCTTGTCACTAGTAAGTGCCAGAGAAGATGTGGTATAGGAGACTGACCAGGTGCTTGTACCCTGGTGTCAAACAACCTGGCTGTGCCTCTTCCTAGCTGTGAGACCTCAGACAAGTGACTAACCCTTTCTCAGCCTCTATTTCCTTATCTATAAGATGAGGCTAATAGTAGTACTCAGGTGGTAGTGAGATTTAAAGATCTAGTACATGAAAAGATGACGTGCAATATGGGGCCCAATACAGCTCAATGCCTGTAGTCGCTATTATTGTTTTATTATTGTTGTCATCCAACATTAACACCCCACACAACATTGTTCCAAGGGGAGAACACCCTCCAGATCAACAAATGCAGTCTCAAATGGTAAGCACTTATAAAATATTAACTACTGTGATGAAGAGTTTTTAAATCATACTCTGCTTCCTGAGTCTCAGAGCCACCAGCTCAGAGAATACCAGGAGAAGCTCATTTGAGAAATTTTATGAGACCTGGATGGTGTGGCTCAATTGGTTGGAGCATCATTGCAGAACCAAAGGGTTGTGGGTTCAATTTCTGATCAGGGCACATACCTAGGTTGTGGATTTGATCCCTGGTCTGGATGCGGAATCCTCAGTCTGGGCGCATACAGGAAGCAACCGATCGATGCTTCTCTCTCACATCAATGTTTCTCTCTCTCTCCTTTCTCCTCTCTCTAAAAGCAAGGAAAAAATGTCCTCGGGTGTGGATTAAAAACATAAATAAATAAAATTTTTTTAAAAATCCATGAATTCCATGAGACACATAAATGTTATTCCTGCCCTAAATATATCACCTAGATCTAATCATGAGGAAACTCATTAAAACCCGTAGTGAGGGAGATGCAAAAAAGTAACTGGCCCATTCAGTTTAGAAATGTCAAGGGTATGAAAAACAAAGAAAAGCTGAGGAACTGCTCAGATTAGAGGAGACAAGAATACAGGACTGCCAAGTCCAATACATAGTCTTGGATTGGATACTGGACCAGAAAGAAAAAAAAAATTCTGTAAAGAACATTATTAGTGTAATTGGTAAAATTAATAAGTTCTGTAAATTAGATAAAGATATCTTATGATTGGTAAACCTTCTACTTTTGATATTGTCCTGTGGTGATATAAGAAAATGTACTTGTCCTTGAGAAATCACCCTGAAGTGTTCAGGGACAAAGGTCAGAATGTCTCCAACTAATTCTTTAACATATCATGTGTCTGGAAAAAAAATCCTTATATAGAGAAAACTAATGAAAATGCGAATGTGTCTAAATGTTCATTGATGAATGTGGATAAAGAGTAGATTTTGGGGACAATATATATTGGCAACATTTGTGCATATTTGAAATTATTGCCAAAAATAACAACCCCATAAATAAAATAAAGCCGAGAAACTACCAAACCTTTAAAAGAAGAATGAGACACTGTGCAGTGAGGCAAGCAGCCAGCTCCCTGCTCAAGACCCACCATTTGGCAGCTGTGAGAAGCCCTCCACCTCTTGGTCCTGTTTCCTTATCACCCCTCTTATGGTCAGCCTGGAAAGGCCTACTTTATATTAACAGGCAGCTTTATAATCTGCCAAAGAGGCAAGGACAAGTCCTGGGGCATGTTTTCATAGGAGATAAGGAGAGAAAGTCAAGGACCCCAGTGCAGTGCTGTGGCCGGGGGAAGAGGCGGGCCTGGGGCTTCAATGGTATCATTTGACCCGCCTGCAACCTCTTAATCTAGATGCCTCATGAAGAGGTCAGGGTGAAAAGCACTGTGGTGCCCAAAGGATCTGCTCTAGCACTGAGATACTGCCTTAAGGGGCAAAGCAGGTGAACGTGGCCCCCCAGAAGAGGAACGATGCTCATGACCAGCCAGAGGAGCCATCCTCTGACCAACAGGCTTTCCACTCCAGGAGTGCCCAGGATGGTGACACAGATCTGCGGGTCCCAGGGGCAGGATCGAAGTAAGGTGAAGGAGACAGGGTCGTGAAAGTTTAAGGTTGGGCCCTGACTTTAAGACTTTGACACGTGTTCATCATAGAAGTTTCTGCATTGAATATTATTTATCTTGATGTATTGAGTTTGGCAGCCCCTTAAAGTCTGCACCAGAGCCAGTGGGTCATTCACCTCACCCGAGTCCTCCCTGGAAGAGCTAAACCATTAACTGCAACAACACCAGCACAGAGTTTGGGACAGGTCAGATAAGGTCTGGAATGAATGGGCCCTTTTGTACCCATCCAAAAAGGACTGGCAAAGGAGTCAATCCTGAGAACACAAACTCTTGCTTTTGACATCACTTCGCAGTCAGAGGCTGGGGCCTGACTTCTTTATCTCTGTCTCAATGTTCTCATCTGTAAAATGGAGCTAGCCTTCTCTTCTGTACACAGTTTATTCTAAAGACAGAATATTACCCTGACCGAGTAGCCCTAAGGGCCAGACACTCTGCTGAGTCTGTCTTTTAGTTATAAACTCAATAAATTGTCACAGCTCTACCATGTAAGAGCTATTATTACCCCCATTTTTAAAGGTGAAGAAATGGACACAGAGGGGTTTAGTTACTTGCCCAAGGTTGATCAGCTAGCCAGTAAGTGGAAGTGCATGTGCTTTAACCTCCACATCAGCATTTTCAACTGGGGGTGGTCTTTCCACCCCTGGAGGACATTTGTCAATGTCTAGACACATTTTCTGCTGTCACAAAAGCGGGGTACAACAGCACCTAGTGGTGAGAGACCAGGGATGCTGCTCAATATCCTACAACGCACAGGACAGCCCCCTACAACAGAATTAGCTGGCTTAAAATGTCAGTATTAAGGTTGAGAAGCCTGCTCCATCCTGTGCCCCTGAGTCAGGAAGTCATGCGGGAACTTAGCATTCAGTGTTCCACAAAAAGCAGATGCTATGCAGTGGTTGTTATTTCTTCTGTCTCAGGGGCCTGGGGTTTCTTTAGGTTATCCAGGGGCCTGAATTCCGCTGGCTCAGCATTCTCACAGGGCTGTCAACAAGCTGCACTCTGGGGACAGCCAGAGCATCATATCAGGAATTCAGCAATGATTTATTGAGCACCTGTTACCTGCCAGACCTGTCCCAGGCAGTGCACACACACGTAGGTGTCCCGGTGTCCCTGCCCCATAGAGCTGTCTGGGAGGGAGACACACATTAAACAACACACAAGCTCATAGATAATAATACATTGTGATACTGCCACAAAACAGAGGAACTAGGCACCGTGAAAGATGTATAACAAGGAAGAGCCTGGTGGGCTGAGGAGGCAGCAAGGCTTCTCTGAGAGTGGCATTTTAACTGAGACCTGGACGTGGGAGGATGCAACAGAACCGAAGGTGAAAGAAACAGCTGTGCAAAGGCCCTGGAGTGGGAACTGAAAGCTAGGCAGTGTGAGGGGAGCGCGGTGGGGGAGGAGGTAGAGAGCAGAGCAGTGTGACCTTGAAGAGATGGGTAAGTAAAGGCCACAGTAAGGATTTTGGTCTTTATGTCAAATAAAGATTCTTTGAAGGGTTCTAATCAGAGTAATGATGCAAACAAGGCCTGTCTTTCAGAAAGCGACCCACTTGAGGTCCAGGCACAGGTCTGTGTGGAAGATGCTACGTGAGGTCAAAACCCACAATTAAGGTCAGTCTCAATCATGCAACCCTGCATAATGCACCTTCCCTGCCCCAAACCCCAAGTGGGTTGTGAAAGGCGATGACTGGAGCAATGGACATACATCACGAGATCACTGCTAGGGCTCATTCCTTGTTCAGCAAAGGGTAGTATCACTCGCTGGAAACACCTGTTTGGTGACAAGGCTCAACTCCTGTCAGTACTTGGGACTTTCCCACAGGCCCCTTATTTCTTTTTGCTTCTTTTGGATGACTCAGCTTGTGGCACTTTCACTCCCCCTGGTATCTCCATCTTGCCTCCCTCAAATTCTGAGGTGTCCTGAATCCCAGTGTACTGTTCCCCACGGACTCCTTTCCCACAGGGGCTTGTGGTGAATGGCTGCGGCCGCCAATGGTGTTTGGGGCCACGTGTCCTGATCTGCATTTCTGCCCATTCATATGAAATGCAGGGGACTCTTGGGTCGTGACTTACGATAAGAACTTGAGCTTACTGCTCTAAAGGGCTCTGACTGTTCTTGCTCAGTCTTGTGATTTCTAAAGTGGAAATTGCTCAAATTATTAAATGGAATTATATGAAGAAAAAGGGTTCCATTGCCAATGAATTCAAGACCCCCTGTTTCAATGCATTTTAGCAGCTATCTTTATTATAGGACTTTTCAAAGCATTTAATGTGCTAACGTGGGTTATAAATCTCCAAAAAGGAGTGGTATTTGTTTATCCTTTTTTTCATGAGCATCCTACAGACTAGTGCTGGGAAGTGCATGCCCCAGCCAATGCCATCCTTAGCCACTAAGTGGTAGCAAAAAAGGCACCTCGAAGTGTTCAGTGTCAGTTGGGCCAGTGGCTGCCTTTCCTTCCAGGGTCCAGGCTCCAGACTTCTGCAGATGACTGTCTCTAACTCTCCAGTTCCCAACACTAGAGCCCAGCGGAAGGATGAGGGAGGGTTTCGGCTTTCCCGGGCGGACCAGCACAGCTGCGTCCCTCCCATGGCTCCCATACCGATGACTCCTGGAACTGAGTGAAAGCTGCCCGTGGCTCAGTTGCACACAAAGACATGTTGGCATGGACATTGGTTAACCAGTTTTAAAAAATACAAAGCTTTTAGCACTTCTATATTTCTTTTAAATCATTAAACAAATACATATTTTTGTTTCTTAAGAAAAATCAAATAACAAAGTGTGTACAATAAAAAGTGGAGGTCTTCCGTTGAACTCCTCCCCGCCCACATCCGTAGAGATCCTTATTAAGGTTTTACCTGGTTTGGTGGGGAGAAGATGGTCTGGAGTCAGAACGACATGTTTGAATCCCAGCTCTGCCCCATGTTAGCTGTGTATCCTTGGGCACAAACCTCAGTTTGCTTATCTGTAAAATGGAGGCACCACAGTAAGCGCCTGGGGGAGTATTAATGAGATGAAACACAGGAAGACCTCCACTAAGCCCCTGCACCTACTTGGATTCAGTTAAATTTGACTCTTAGGATTTTCCTACCAGAATCCGGCTATGTTTTTTTTTTTTTAAGTCCAAATCCATGCAATGAATGTGCTAATTACAGAATGGGGCCAATTTCTTCAGTCTGTTCATGTGATTATTTTTTTTAAGTCCGTAAGGGTGGTTTCTATGTGCAGAAACCACTCTTCAGAGGTTTATTTTATTTTTCAAGTGACCATTTAACTTATTAAAGTTAATAGTTCAAAAACAGAGAGAGTTTGCTCTCTCATCTTAATAGGTTAGCTTATTCTTGATGCTGGGAACTAAAATAAAACTTTCCTCATGACCCTGACAAGGTGGTTATTGCCTTAAAAAATGTCATGCTTTTAAGTTCGGCTTATTTTTTATAAGTCCAACTAGGATTGCCAAATAAAATATAAGATGCCCAATTAAATTCAAATTATCTAAGAGTCAAATGTACCTAGTGCTTTGTATTATTATTTGCTAAATCTGGCAATCTTACATCCAGCAAACTTAAATAATTACTTTTAAGATGTTATGGACCCATTTACAAGCATTTTAAACTTTTTTTAAAGTTTAAATTGTATCCTATTTCCTTCTAAAGTTTTTTAACTGTCTGAACTAACGAAAAACCACTCTATTTAATACTAAGTAATTCTAATTCTAAATAATCATAACTGATAAATTAAATATATAAAACATTGTTAACCCAAAATTGTTATAAATGTTCCAGAACTATGCATAAACTTAGTTGGATTTCAAGTCAAGGTCATGAATCTAAATCGAGGCACCCTCCTCCACTGCACATTTTATGATGGCATTACAACACTGTCAACTTAATAGGTCAAAATTTCTCATATGTTACAAGTTTATGAAATATCACATATGTACAAATCCTTCTTAAAAGATACAAAAAATGTGTGCCTCATTTACTTCTTTTTCTTGTTGGAAGATGCCATTCTCCAAAGAAGGCAACCATTACTCCATTAACCAGAGCTGCCTTTGCCAGAGATTCAGCCCCGCCCTAGGTCTGGGCTGTAGACAACAGGAGATTCCCCTCACCAGGAGCTCAGGAAACCATTATTTCCTTCCATGTACTGTCTGGGGTTATCTCCCTGCAATGCCTGGGTGTACTTGGTCAGAGATTTTGGCCAGGATGCTGTGTGGATGTACGCTGGCAATACACACATATTTCCTGGGGCCACGGCCGTGTGCCCGTCACTTCCAGAGCCGGTGGTCCAGAGATCCTGACGCTGGTTTCAGGTTATGCTCATTATCTACTGTCTTTCTGTTTGTTTGTCTGAGTCCAGATTTTTTTTTTAAATTGTTTATTTTTTATTGTATTTTTTCCATTACCATTTATCCCCCTTATACCCTCCTCCCCCCAGTACCCTATTCACAGAAGAACTGTCTTTGCCAAAGTCTGCAAATCTTACCTGAGTTTATAACCTGATTGAACTCCATGGGTTTTTTTTTTGTTTTGTTTTGTTTTTGCTTTTCAATCTTCACATCTTCTTGTCCAGATCTCTAAAAGTCAATTTACTTGCGCTGAAATCCTACAATTCTTGCAAAGTCTTCCTTTCTCGGGGCCATGTGATTCTCGTGAACATTAAAATAATAACCGGTTGAATCATGGATCCCTTTGGGAGCTTTAACTAGCACTTTCTCCTTAAAGTCCAAGGACATTTTTCACTGATCTATTCTAGCAGACCAGCAATTGCTCTCCCTGGCAACACACTGCTAGCACTTGGTGTGTTAAATCATATACAGTAAAATGGCTTTAAAAAATAATTTCATTCAAACTAATTTGACCTTAACCACACCCATCAGGGTGGTTACAGAATCAGAGCCTGGGTGTGTCAATGACCAGCTGGCTGCCAAATCCCGGTGATGGCAGAAAACACAGCAGAATTTCCCACTGCCCCAGCCTCACTGCCCACCCCCAAAGAAGGCTCCATCACCCCAAATGCCCTCTGGGACCACTTCCAAGTTCATCAGTTTTCAGGAAAAGGTACATTGCCTTTTGCAACCACAGGAGGGATGACCAGATGTCACAGCTGGCTCCTGATTAGAATAGGAATGATTTCGTAGGGGATGGTGCCTAAATTAGGCAGGCCAATTTCCTCACCAGACAGGGCTCCTAAAAATCTGGCCCATTTCCTTAGGGAATGAAACCCATGATCTTCAGTTCCTCAGGGAAGTGAAAGTAACAACAAGGAATCCAGTTATTCCTGTTGTCTGCAGGCCTTATATATAAGTCGGCCGAGCATGAGGAAGTGGCCTGAGGAGGTGGCTGGGAGCCTGCACTGCAAACCGTGCTGTCTTCGCACTGTGCCCTGCATCTAGGAGCAGCGCCAGGATGTCTCGACTACTGCCCGCCCTGCTCCTCCTCTTCTCCATCAGCAGTGCCCTGGCCCTCAGGATCTGCTCCTTCAATGTGAGGTCTTTTGGGGAAACCAAGACGGAAAACCAGAAGGCCATGGATGTCATTGTGAAGGTGAGCCCCTCTCTAGTCCAAAGGAGCAATGGACACCCTTGCACCCTCTCTACTGCTTTCAGGCTTGAAGAGACTCAGGAGGAATTGAACTAAAGTGAGTTCCTTGGGTGAAGGTAGCAGTTGGCTTGAAATTTTGTAACAATAAGGATAGCAATAATTATAATAGCCATTTTGCCTCTCTGTGTCATCATCTTAAAATGGGGACTATAAGAGTACCTCCTTGTAGGGCTGTTTCAAGGAACACATGAGAAGATAAATGTAAAACTCCTATAATATGGCTGTACCTGGCTCACAGTAAGCTCAGGTAAGGGTTAGCTACTACTATAACTTTTTTTGTTGTTGTTCCAATACGTTTGTCTCCATTTACCCACCACCACTCTCCCCTGCCCCACCCACCCTCACCTCCCCGCCTCGATCCTTTCCCACCTTGGCTTCAACTTTGCGTCCTTCACACCTGTTCCTTGATCTCACCCTTCCTCTACCCCTCCCTGCTATACTTTAACTTTTTTTTTTTTTTAATTTTCACCTGAGGACATGATTTTAGAGAGGGGTAAAGGAGAGAGAAAGAGAGGGAAACATCGGTCGGTTGCCCTCATACATGCCCCAACTGGGGACCAAATCTGCAAATTAGGCAGGTGCCCTAACTGGGAATTGAACCCACGACCTTTTGGTTCGCAGGACAACACTCCAACCAACTAAGCCACACTGGTCTGGGCCTACTATAATTCTTATTACCATTTATGTGCCAGGTACCATAAATACAGGATTTCATTTACTACCCCTTAGGAAGGATACTTATCCTCATGTAGAGATGACGAACAATGAAAGGTGAAGTAACATTGTATAGCTTGTGGGTGGGTGGGATGCCAGCTCAGCCTGGTCTTTTAAATCAATGCAGCACAGATTTTTACTTGCTTTCCACTTTCTTTTCCTCCTTTCTGCCTTTCTTCCCTCTTCCTTCCTCCCTTTCTTTCTCTCTCTTACTTTCTTTCTCTCTCTCTTACTTTCTTTCCTTCCTTCATTCCTCTCTTTCTTTCTTTCCCTCTCTTTCTCTCTTCCTTTTTTTCTCTCCCCTTCCCCTTCGTCCTCTACTCCTCCTTCCCTTCCCCACCCCCATCAGCCTTTTCCCCAATCTTTTCCTCCAATTTTTGGATAACATAACCAGTGCCTGGGAACTCTGCCCACACTGAAGTCAGTTGGCTCTCTTTACCCTACAGCAGCCATATCCAACTGGTGTGCTGCAAGAATTTTTATTTATTTTTTAAAGATTTTCTTACTTTATTTATTTTTAGAGAGTGGGGAAGGGAGGGAGATAGAGAGAGAGAGAGAAACATCCATGTGTGCCTCCTGAGGACCTGGCATGTGCCCTGAGCAGGAATCAAACCGGTGACCTTTTGTTTTGCGGGACGACACCCAACCCACTGAGCCACGCTGGTCAGAGCTGCAGCAAGAATTTTTACAACATACAACAGACCTCTTTTCCCTTAGATTGTCAAATAAAAACATGGCAACAACCAACACACTAGCCGTCCAGTGTGAATTAATCGAAACTATACCTATTTATTTTTTGCCAAATTGGCAAAAAATGTATTTTTTGATGTGTTGCAGAATTTTAGTAATTAGTTTATCTGTGCCATGAGATGAAGAAGGTTGAAAATGGCTGCCCTACAAGTTAATTTATTTTTGATGCTGGTTTTGCTGAGACCCTTCACAGGACTCTGACTGGGTGCTGTTTCCTTAGAAACCCCGGGAGGCACCATGGTGCAGTGGGAATGCCAGGAGCCTGGATTCAGACCCCACCTGGCAGTGGGGTGAGTGAGCCTGAGAAGTTCCTTCTGCTCCTGAGCCTCCAGGGCCCCTCATTAACATGGACCTTACACAACCTGTAGCACAGGACGGCTGGGTAAAGTCAAGATGAGTAAGGCAACAGGGCAGGTGATCACAAACACAAGCTGCCACTGTTGTTATTAGGCAAAGTGGATTAGAGCAAGAACTGGCATGCTCTGTCTATCCTCAGATGGTCCTTTCAGACCTGCCCTTTGGATGGTACCCAAGGACTTCCAGATGTCATTTTTTAGCCAAGACAGCCATGCCAAGCCTGTGAGAACCGTGACTCCCTGGCTCAACTGGAAACTCTGACATGTGAGGAAATGATTTTCCTCACTTCCTCACACAAGGACCTATGAAGCCTGGGGACCTACGGAATTCCCATCACCCTTCTCACTTATTCCACCCAAGAAACGTTACCACACTCTTAAGAGGCTGACATTGGCTTCCTCGGTGACTCCATTTTAGGGCGCCTACCATCAGCACCTTCCTTAAGCTGCTGTGTTTTAGAGAACTGACAGCCCATTACACCAAACACCAAGCATGTCTGAAGCCCCTGACCTTCCCCATCGTTGCAAAACCACCCTGTAAACAGACGCCATCAGAAAACAGAGCCACCCAGAGTAGTTAGAGTGAAACTCAAACCCCAGGCGCTCAGGATAGCAGTATTTACAGGGTCCTTTGTCTGCACACCTACTATAGGCCAGGGACTTTATATTACTTATTTAGTACTATGATGTAGGTGGCATTGCCCTCACTTTATAACTGAGAAGACTGGTGCTCAGAATGGTGTAGTGACTTATTCAGGCTTCCGTAGCATCCAACCATATAACCATACAAGTGGAAATGTCTTTTCCCCCTTCTCATACTGGATTCATCACGTCAGAGATGAGCCCAGCATCACTGTGCCTTCATTGGGGAAGTTGGGGAGTGAGGGAGGCCTGCCTTCTCCATCTTGGGTTTTCTGACAGCACCAAGGGCAATTTTACAGAGGCCGAATCCTGCCTGGGAGAGGTTCCTTCTGTCTGTGACTTCTTTACTTTGTGTCCTTAAAGAGTAAAGCTTGTTCATCCAACAAATACTCGTTGAAGGTAGGCCGTGTGCCAGATGCTCCAAGGCACTGGGAGTGAGGCGGTGGATGTGGAAGGCACTGTCCACCTTTTCACAGAGCTTACAGTGCACGATAATTTAATTTAGGAGCACTGACTGTGCCCGGAGCCCTTGATATGCTTATCCAAATTCAGCCTGATGACACCTCTGATTAGCAGGTCCATTTTACAGATGAGGTGACTGAAGAATGGGGAGAGGAAGTAAGTTGCCCAAGGTCATGGAGCAAGTACAGGAAAGAGTGAGGGTGATAACAAAGGCTGACTGACTCTGTCTGGGCTCTTCCCCACCACGCTGCTATGATCCCTGCTTAGAGGCATGAAAGAGGCTTTCATAGGCTGCTCTCTGCCCCAGGTTTGTCAAGAGCTCTCCAGGCTGGCCTTTCCCCTCTCCCAGGCCTGCTCATGACACCCCTGTTGGGATTCTCCCACCTCTAGCCATGTGCTGCCCCTAGTCACCTCCCCTCTGTGAAGAGAGTCAGGAAAACCTGAGTTTCAAATCTGGGAGGACCTTCTGGGGACTCTCCTCCTTGGGTCCTCCTCCTAAGGAAATGAAACCAGGGGAAACATTTTTCCCTGTCCTTTGGCCTGAAATTGGGGCAGAAGAAAATGTGTCATGAATGAATTTGAAATCTGAGTATTTAATGACTGTGGGGGAAACACATTGTAATATTAGGTTAACAAAACAAGACAAGAACTGTATGATAAATGTTGCCATTGTTTGCTGAGCATCTGCTCTGTGCCGTGGACTGGGCTGAGAATTTTATATCCATTATGTTATTTAATCCCCATGAGGTACAATTGTCCGTGTTCACAGGTAAAGAATCTAGCAGTTCAGGGAACTTTAGTGACTTGCTCAAGGTCACATAGCTGGTGAGTGATAGAGTTAAGACACAAATCCAAGGCCATTTGACTCAAAAGTCCATACTCAGAACCAATGAGCAACTCATTTTGATGACAATTTTGTAAGTATATATAAATATAGAAATCATATGGAAAAGGACTTTTCCTGAATTCTTTACCCACTGAGCTCCTTCTCCCCTTTCAGAGCCTTTGAAGGCCCTCACCTCCTTGGAGCTCTCCCTGATGTATGGGTAGAAGCAGTTAATGATGCTGGGATGCCCATACAGCTGTGACTTGTTGAGCACAAATTTCATTTCCCTCTCATTGTAGCTAGTTGTTTCCATTTGTTTCTCTCACTGGACTGTGCGTCTTTCAGGGCAGGGGCTGTATTTTAAGATTTTAGCATGGTGGGCTTTACAGTCACACAGCCTGTGTTCACATCCTGGCTCTACCACCTATGCTGGCTGTGTGCCTTTCAGCTACTCACTCAGTCACTCTGCGCCTGGGTGTCTCCTGTGCTTAACAGGCTAGTAATCACAGTCATCTCAGAGAGCTGGTGAGACTCAGCTTAGGCTCACCGTAAATGTCAGCTCTTATCATTATTATCATTCCTGAGGTATCATTATAGCTCATGATCCAGCCTGGTACTTTTCATTTACTAAGGGCTTAATAAATATTTAGTAGTAGTAGTAGTAGCAGTAGTAGTAGTAGTAGTAGTGTTCCAGCAAAGCCAAGAGGTAAGTTCTGAGTGTGATCGGGGCCCTGGATTTGGATGACCTAGGTTCACATTCTGCCTCAGCCACTTGCTGGTTGGGTGACTTTGAATAATTTACTCACCTTTCCAGAGCCTCAGGTGCCTTGTCTTTAAAATGAACATAGTAATAGCATCTACCTCGTGGAATCCTTCATTTATTTTAGGCAAGAAGTTAATTAATTTAACGAAGCACCCAGTTTGATACTTAAAATATAGTAAATGCCCCAAGAAAGGTTTTTTATTATTCATAGTAAATGCCTCCAGTCACCTGGGAATTCCTTCTCTGCAGGTCATCAAACGCTGTGACATCATACTCGTGATGGAAATCAAGGACAGCTCTAACACAATCTGTCCCATGCTGATGGAGAAGCTGAATGGGTAAAGATGGGGCCCCAGACCCTCTGTGGGGTCAAGGTCAAGGGCACACGAAAAGCCCCGGCGAACTGAACTTAGTGTGAGAGGACTCACCCTGACCACCCGTTCACGTTCTCAGCACTGCCTGGGCTTCCGCTTCCTTTAGTCACAGTCCGGAGGACTCTGAACCAGCTAGTTTTATTATAATAAAGTAAAATAAGGGAAACAGATGAGGAGTTAGGACAGAGAGAGAAATGAAAGAAACAGACAACAGGCTGAGGTGAGAAGTGCTGTTATAAAGAAAAGTTGAGTGTCACTCAGAAATTATGCTATGCCCACAGACTGGAATATTATGCAGTCATTATAAATCATGTTTACTACAGAAGAGGTTAGACCTAAATAGTCCAGCATGGAAAGATGGCTGCAATTGAAAAAAAGAAAGTTCAGAATTGTAGGTAGAATAACCCATTTTAGTAATCACATCATATTATACAGGAGTAAGAGTATGTTTGAGTTTGCACGGGCACAAAAGAAAGACTGGCAGGGTAGGCTGCAAACGGGGCTGAGGGGCTGTCACGGGAGGGCGACCACGCAGGGTGCCAGTGGAGGAACGGGGGACATTGGTTCTTTATTTTATATACTTCAGGATGAGTTGAATATTTTACAAAAGTCTGAATCGATTTTACAAGTTAAAAATTATTTTTAAAAATAGTGTCCTCACATAGTTTTAAAGGACATTGTTCTATTTATGATTCATATTCTTTCTCAAAGAATAATTGGCAGACCCACCCACCTGAAAATGACCCCAGAGTGAATTAAAAGTGCATATTCAAGAGCCTTAGGTGTATTGAAGGAAAATTTCTGTGAGAGAGAAATCTTTAGTTCAACAAGCTTCCCAGGTAATTCTGATGCATTCTGATTTTTAAAACTTCTAATGTTTCTTTTGTAGATACGTGATAAGATTAAACAACAAATTCAAGTATACAATATGTGCCAAGCAGCTCAATTTTGCAAAAACATAGAACAAAACAAAAAACATGAAAAAGATTCAAAAGCAGTGAACCAAAATGTTGACAGTGGCTATCTTAGAGCACAAATTTAGGAAGAATTTAAATGTGAGTTCTTCTATATATTTTCTGAATTTTCCAAAATGTCTACAATCAGAATGTTATACTCTCCTTCCTTTTTCTTATGAAATAATTTAAACATATTTAAAAGCATAGAGAAAATGATAATAAATAGCCATGCATCCACCATCCAGATTGAACAACAGTATATCTGGTCATTATTATACTTTTATAATTAGGAAAACTCACATTGTTTTGTAGAAAGGAAAGGTCAGTGCAGGAAGAACAGCCGAGGCTGCTCTCCTTCACACAAGCGGCTCCTGAGCTGGCCCCACCCCATTCTGGGTCTCCGTTTCTCATCTGAAAATACAGAGTTGGATCTGGGTTCTCCTTTTCATCCTCGGCATGTCTTCTGGCTCCAAATCTGATTTTTGGCAATGGAATAGGGCATGTAGCACAGGGCTTAGGCGCCTACGCTCAGCTCAGCCTCTTGGGTTTGGATCCTGGCTTTGCCAGGACCTCAAGGCAGTCACCAGCCTCCTTTTCCCTGTCTCTGAAAGGGGCTAATAATAGAATCCATCTTTCTGGGATGTGGCGGTAATTAAATCATGCATGTAAGAGGTTGAACGGTGCCTAGCATGTAGCAGCACCTGTTGCTGGTAAAAGGAAGAGACTTATGACAGATGATGGTCCAGGGGGCCACATGAAACAGCTACCATCCATGCCCTAACTAGGGACCAGGTATCCTGTTAATTCATTTACAAGCCTGTGGGGTAGGTGATCTGACTGTTTCCCTTAGAGCTGAGGAAACTGAGGCACAGACAGAGAAGAGGTACTGGTCCAAAGTCACCCAGCCATTAAGTGGCTCAGCCTACTTTTGAACCTGGATCATGTCTCACTCCAAAACCCGTGCTCTATTCTGAGCCCTCCCAGTTGTTCTTGGAGTGCTCCAGGTAGTTTTCAGAAGTATGGGGGACCGAGAGGACAGGGGCCTCAGGTATCTCCCCCCAGTGGCTTAGAGAGAGCCTTCCCCCCTCCAGTGGTGTCAATTTTCCCCAGCCTCTCTAGACTGTGCTATGGACCCAGGGCAGAGCCAGGCCTCTTTGTCCCCTTATCTGCCATAAGCCAGGAGGGACCTTAAGTCACTTCACAGCTAAGTTATTGCTCACAGTTTGCCAAATCAGGACTCAGCAGGCCAGAATTAGAAAAGGGCCAGCCTTCCCAAACTGGAAGCCCAGAGGAACCCATTGTCCACACTCTTGGGACTCAATGGCCCATCTGCCTTAGGCTATGCAGCTAAAGCCCCAGGAATCTAAGTTGGCCCCTAAAGATTCCTTCTGCTTTTTCCAACTGAACCTGAGACTATGCTTTGCCCTAGACATGCCCTAGATTTCTCCGTGAGCAGGTGGAGTAAAACCGGGTCAGGCTCTGCCCAGGGTGAAGTTATCAGCAGGTTTGGCAAACACACTGAGAATCAAGTTTCTCTGGGATAGGTGAGGGTTAGAGTCAATGGGACTTCGGCTGTACCCCCAAGCCCCAGAGCATAAACAGTAGCTGATCCGAAATTATAGTTCTGGGCTTGTGAGAAAACGCCTGGGCGTTTTTGGAGCAGGAGAGAATGTCCCACAAAGTTGTTACTAGGAATGATGCATATGATAGATGCTCAGGAGTGCTGCATGAATAGGGTCACCAGGAAGTGGGAGCTGCAGCCCAGCCATGCGTCAGAGTGGGAGTTGGGGCTGATTCTGGCCTGAAGCTTCTACGGTCTCAATGGTCTCCCACAGGTACAGGCCAAACTGTATGGTATGAAGTGTAGATTTGGAGGTGAGTAGGACACGGATTCAAATCCCAGCTTTGTATTTACAGATGATAAAAATGGGATAACAACCGTACCCACCTCTAAGGACAAGAAATAATGGCTGTAAAGATGCTGACAGATGTCACATTTCCAGTTAATGGTGGCCCTTCTTACTGGACTCAAAGGTTATAAAAAATGGTAGCCCTTTTTCACAATGACATTGAAGACAGGGAGGCAGCTTGGAGAGAGAGGAACCTATGCAGTATGGAAATGTTTTTCTTTTAAGATGCAATGTCAGATCTTTATATTTTCTAGAAATTCAAGAAGCACAACATACAACTATGTGATTAGCTCTCGGCTTGGAAGAAAGACATATAAAGAACAGTATGCCTTTGTCTACAAGTAAGTATAATCTATGCTTCCTAGAACATGATTCACTTATGATAGCTATGAATTGAATCAAAAAGCCTATCATTTCTTCTTTAAAAAAAAAAAAGAGATTTATTTATTTTACTTTCCAGAGAGAGGGAAGGGAGAGAGAAAGAGGGAGAGAAACATCAACAGACAAGCGATACATCGAGCTATTGCCTCTCGCATGCCCCAACTGGTAGCCTGGCCCACAACCCAGGCATGTGCCCTGACCAGGAATTGAACCGTAATTCTAGTAGGCAACCTACTGGTTTGCAGGCTGGTGCTCAATCCATTGAGCCACACCAACCAGAGAAAAATGCATATCTTCTCTTCAAAACCAAATTTTGATCTCTAACTAGTTCTCAATATTGGTCAAATAATTCCCATCAAAATTGGGACTGGTGCAAAGTATGAGCTCTTCAAAACAGAAAACACAAGCAGCTTCCTAATACCTCATTTGTTGGTGGGCTCACTGGCTGCCTGGTCCAAGGGGTCCAGGACGTCTTTATTCTTTGTAGCCAAGTCCTGCTCCAGAGGTGAAAACCTGAGTTGCTCAGCACAGCTGACTCCATAACTTAATATTCTCATCTTCTTCCTGCTAAAAATTTGTTTCAAGTATGACCATTAACTTGTGGGTACCCCAGATAACTAGTGCTGCTCAGACCTTTGGCTCCCAAAGGGCCCTGGCCATTGAGGAGAGTTGACTGAACCTTGTTCTCAGGCAAAAGTTGCCTTCCAGCTCTTGAACCAGGTTGGGAGGCTAATGAAGCCATGGGAAACTGTTATTGCTTTCTAAGAAGAAAACAGCTGACTCAGATGGGTGGGCTTCTTTTTTCTCTTCTAGGGAAAAGCTAGTGTCTGTGAAGGAAAGCTACCTCTACCATGACTATCAGGCTGGAGATGCAGATGTATTTTCCAGGGAACCCTTTGTGGTCTGGTTCCAGTCACCCTACACTGGTGAGTCTCTTTCCCACGCTCTCTCCAGTGATTCCACGATCTCTCCAGCGATCCCATGAATGGTCAGCCCTGAGTGGGAGCTGTGACCCAAGGTTTATGCAGCATCTTTAGGGAGGCCTTAGGCTTGATGGAGAAGGCCATTAAGAACTTCTAATAGTTGAATGTACAGGATGCAGTATAGTTTGATGGCACCAGGCTGGCTTCTCAGAAAGCCATGACTCAAGACCTCCCCAGCCTGGCACCTACCTTCTGTAATCAATGATAGCTCTCTTGTCTTTGGAACATATAGGCTGATAGAAATTATTTACCACAATTCCTCAGTCCCAGTCAAATACAACTATTTCTTCATTAAAAAAAAAAATCCCAGTGATGACCAGCAAAGATGAGCCCCCAAACTAGGGTCTCATTCTCCCTCCAGTAACTACATATAAGTCTCCTCCACAGACTGGGGGTAGAGAGGAGGTCCAAATTATTGCACCCTGAACTCTAACAACAACTGTATTAGCCACTAACAATTATAGATCACTCATTAGTGCCAGGCTCCTATACTCCTTCCAATGACCCTACAACGTAGGAACTAGGATTATCTATCCCCACTTTATAGTTCAGGAAACTGAGGTTCAAAAATGTGGAGTCACTGATCCAAGTTCGCTCAGCAGCTACTGAAGGGGACGTGCCAGGGTTGTCACCCGAGCCACTGTCTCAGGAGCTCATGTTCTTAACCACTATGCGACATTCAGTGGGAAGTCAAGAGTAAATTTGGTTTGACTTTTGGAGCTATATAGAATCAAATATTTTTTCAGTACCTACTACATACCAGGTTCTGTTCTGGGCACTAGACCAGACAGACAAGGTTGCTCTTCTCATGAAGTTATGTTTTAGTAAGGGAGACAGATAATGACCAAACAAATACATGCAAAGCTATACATGTGTACATCTATAAATACAAATATAAACACTCTGAACTAGTTCTGCCCTGGGTTAATTACCTCAGAGGCAGAGTGTTGACAGACATTGGAGAATAGGACAATTCCCAGTAAGACAAGAGAAAGAGGTGGGGGCTACTGAGGGCAAGATATGCCCTTCAGAGGGTATGTGCAATAATCCTTTTTGTCACATACAAAATTTGCACTTGGCTGACCAGGGCAGTATTCAGATTGCCCCCACACTCCCTTAATGATTATTTCTTCTCTAAGAGAGTCCTCAGCCTTTGTGAATTGCTAACAAACCTATTTGTATTGAGCTTCCACACTTCCACTCTTTTTTACCCCTCCCTCTCTCCTTTGGGATGGCACCTCAGCCATGTCCTGTTTAGTTTTCTCTCTTGTTTGAGGAAAGCTCCTTATATCCTCTCTATTTAGGATCACAGACAAAGGAGATACACACACACACACACACACATACACACACACATACATATGTGTGTATATATATTTATTTTTAGTCAGTCAGTCATTCTGTCAGTCAGTCAGTGAACAAACATTTTTGAGCTCCTCTAATGTGTCAAATACTGTGCTAGGTACTGGAGTCAAGAGTGTGAATGGGACAGATAACCTGCCCTCACAGTGCAGGGTTCCACTGGGCCAAATAAAGACGTAAAACAAATAATTTCGGAGCGTGAAGGAAATAAGCAACATGCATTGACTAGCAGGATGAGTGGCCCACATTAAACAGAGGTAGGGGGATCAGGGATGGCTCCTGGGAAGTGATATTAGGCTGTGGCCTGAAAAAATCAAGTCAGAAAAAACTTGGGAAAGGGCATTTTAGAGGGAGGGCACAGTAAGCACACAAGTTCAGAGGTGGGAAAAGGGTGGGGAGTGAAGGGGAGCCAAAAAGAGGATGCGGAGTGGAGTGGATGTGTGAGGGGGAGAGCGGGAGATGAGGTTGCTGGATCCGTGTCCTGGCGACAGGCTGCCGGGTCTGAGTCCTGGCTCCCCACTGCGTGGCTTCCCAGCAGCACCCAGCTCCTGAGTGGGAGTGGGGACCCAGGCACAGAATGAGGGAAAAACCGAGGAGGAAACATGCAGAACGCAACAGCTGCTATTAGCAAGTGGGGGAGGCCCGGCACCATGGCTCACCCACATGCCCTCACGCTGGCTCTCTCATCCCTCCTGCTGGGCCTGCTGGTGGGGGGAGGTTTTTAGACACTGCACAAAAATTTACTTAATTTTTTTAATCAATTTTTTGGGGCTTTTTTCCCACGATTACAAAAGGAGTATAAACTGACATGTTTCAATTTTTTTATTAGAAAAAAATTTTTTTCTTAGTACAAAAACCAAGCAGCTTTAAAAAAAAATAGAAAATACAGGTTTTGAAAAAATGAGAAAACAGAAACACCCACAATGCCAGCAAGAAACACTGTCTGCCAGCTCTCTCTTGGCCATGAAGGGTGAATGGGAGAAAAGGTGCTTTCATGTACTGAAAATAGCTGCTTCAGGATCCTAAGATCATTGAAATCTCAGCCACTGGCCGGACCCTCTGGAAACAGGGGGGGGGGACCCAGATGACACGGTTCCATGCCTTCTGGGAGGACAGCCTGTTTCCCTCGAGCAGCGTTCCTGGAATCTTGCCAGGGAAAGCCTGTGACCTCTGCCTCTTTCCTGTTCCTCAGCTGTCAAGGACTTCGTGATTATCCCCCTGCACACCACCCCTGAGACATCCGTTAAAGAGATTGATGAGCTGGCTGATGTCTACATGGATGTGAAACGCCGCTGGAAGGCAGAGGTGACGACCCTCTGTGTCCATTGAATTCCCCTCTAGCAGGGGCAGAACCAGGTCCTTGAGAGGAATGAGGGACTCCCCAGGAGGGTGAGGGGGACAGAGCATGTGCAGACCACCACCACTTTCAAGCCGCATTTTAAGCCTTCCCTCGGCCCTAAATATCCTTCTTGCTAATTGTGCCTGGGTACTATCCATGTGGGTCCTGGGAATTCACCCCCTACTGCACTAACAATGGCTGCCGACATTCATGGAGGGGAGAGATGGTACCAGGCACTGTGCTGAGGCTGGACGTGGATGAGTTTATTAAACCCTCCTAACAACCTATGAGGCAGCTACTTTTATCATCCTTACCTTGCAGTTGAGACCAGTGACACACAAAGAGGTCAGATGTCTTTCAGAGGCAAGTGACAGAACCTCAAACTGGCTTTGAAAAGAAGGTGTTTATTGGTTTCTGTAACTGAAATGTCCAGGAATCACTCAGGCACAGCTGGTCCAGGGCTCAGTCATCAGGGCCGCCTCTTGGCCCTCCTTTCTTCTGGGTGGGGTCCATTTTCAGGCTGGCTCTACCTTTGAGGTAGAAGGATGGCCGCCAGTAGCTTCTAGACCAAATGGCGAATTTTCTTTCTCACAATGCAACAAATACCCTGGGGCTGAGTCTTATTGGTGCTGATTGGGGCACATGCCCATCCCTGAACCAGTCACTGTGATGGGGGGGAGGGGTTGAGATGTTCTGATTGGCTAAGTCTGTGTCGGCTCTCCACCCCACCCAGCCCTGTGAGGGTATGTGAAAGTGCTTGGCTAGTGTACAAGTGCTCTAAAGCAGCGGCCCGACCTTTACGGCACCAGGGACCCGTTTTGTGGAGGACAATTTTTCCCGGTTTCGGGGGTGGTGAGTGGAAAAGAGGAGGAGCTCAGGCAGCAACGCTAAGCTTCGCTGCTTGCCAGCGCTCACTTCTTGCTGTGCGCCCCGTTCCTAACAGGCTTCGGACCAGTACCGGTCAGCAGGCCGCAGGTTGGGGACCCCTGCTCTAGAGGGCTCTTCTGCATTCTTCTTTTCTCCTTTTGGGATGTAACTCCAGTGATTCCTCTCTCCTCCTTCTCAGTTCCACTGCTGGAAGTGCAAAGTGAGTGAAGTGAACTGTGGACTCACCTGGGGCATGAGAACACGGGCTGTATTTCATTGCTTATTTGGAAAGAGCAGGTCAAGAGAAAGACTCATTCATTCATTCCTATAATTATGAATTCATTTATTCAACAAGAATTTATTTAGCATCTGTTAAGTGTTGGACACTAGGGAGGAATCAGTGGCACAAAAATGAACAAGAGCAGAAGTTTGTGCTGAGAAGCCTTCAGTGAGGCAGATAGGGGTTCAATTCCTGACCTGACCACTTGAACCTCCCAGCTGAATGGTGTAAAGCAGTCCCTCTATCCCCTTTCTACAGGGGCTAAAGGTTCTTCTACCTCCCAGTGTTTGTGATATTGAAATGAAACTTTATAAAACACTTAATGCTGGACTTGGCACACAGTGAATCATGCCTATGCTTTAAAAATTATTTTTTTAATTTTTAGAGTGAGAGGAAGGGAGGGAAAAGAAAGGGAGAGAAACATTGACCAGCATCGACCAAGTGCCTCTTGTGCGGCCCCAACTGGGGACCAAACCCGCAACCCAAGTATGTGCCCTGACTGAGAATCAAACCAGCCACCTTTCACTCTGGGATGATACCTGACCAACTGAGCCACACCAGTCAGGACTAAATTGTGCCTATACTAATAGAAGCTGGTAGTCACGAGGGTTAAGGATGACATCCTGTCCTCTACTGCACCCATCAATCTCAGGGAAAACCATGGTCACTGAGGTCAAAATAAAATGTTTTTGAAGAAAACTCTAAAGTCAGCAACAGCCCTAAATAATAGCACAAACAAGGAAATCTGGCACTTCCTCTGGAGAGAAGAATATTAAAATTCTGTTCCAAGAGCCCTGCAGGGAAAAACACTCCCAAGATAAAGTTCTTTTGGTGACCTAAGGTTCTTCCCACTTCCTCAACAGACAGAAATTCTACAGGAATAAATTTCCAACTTTGAGACAATAGGAGGGAGAGAGAGCGAGCTATGCCAAAGCTGTCAAATACACCACCCAACTTCATTTTTCCTGCTTGGAAACAAAAAGCGTTGATTCATTCATATGTTTGAGCCAGAATCAAAAGATGTGAGGGATTAAGTTAGCTGGCTTCTTTTATCCCCACCTAACTCCTCATGCCGACTCCCAGAGACATGGTGACTAAGAGCAGACAGGAACAACTACAGCAAACACCTCCCTTCCCATTAACAACACCCTCCTTCATACACACTCACCTGTCAAATACTCATCAAAACTGTGACTCGCTTTTAAACCATGGCTTCTTCTTTTAAAAAGCAAAAAGAAATTGAGAAAGACCCTATATTAGTTTGCTAGGGCTGCCATAGCAAAATACCAAAGACTGGGTCACTTAAACAACACAAATTTATTTCCTCACAGTTCTGAAGGCTAGATGTTCAAGATTAAGGTGTCAGCGGGGTTGGTTTCTCCTGAGGTCTCTTCTCCTGGTCTGCCCTCTGTGTCTCTCTGTGTCTTAACCTCCTCCTTCTGAGGGCACCAGTCATACTGGATTAGGGCTCACCCATAAAATCCCATTTTATCTTAATTACTTCTTTAAAGGTCTCTCCAAATTCAGTCACATTCTACGGTACTGGATTTAGATCTTCAAAATGTGAATTTGGGGAAGAGACACAATTTAGCCCATACAGAACCCATCATTTACTGGGCATGGGAGATACAGTCATTGCTAGCAGTTATGAGCAAAAGAGTTTGGCAACAATGCCCATTAGGTGACTGAAGCTCCAAATGATGTCTTTCAGAATTTCATTTTCATGGGCGACTTCAACGCAGGCTGCAACTATGTCCCCAAGAAGGCCTGGAATAACATCCGCCTGAGGACCGACCCTAAGTTCATTTGGCTGATCGGGGACCAAGAGGATACCACTGTGAAGATGAGCACCAACTGTGCATATGACAGGTGGGAGGCATCTGCCTGGTGGCTGGTAGCTCCTGCAGTGCTTAATATGCATGAGAAAAGGCGCCCCTCCCCCCCAGTCAAAGAAGAAAGTTGTCTTGGAAAACAGAGTCAGATTTCAGACCTCTCTACCTAGTGCTTTGTGCAGTATACAAATTGCATGAACTGGGCACTGTAGTTCAGCAGTAGCAATCATGGGCTTTGGTGTCAGGCAGGCCTGGGTTCAAATCCTGACTCTACCACTTAATGTCTGTGACCAAGAGATATGTCTTAGTTTCCTCACCTATAAAATGGAGATTATAGTAGAGCCTCACTCATAGACATATGATGAGAATTAAATGAAATAACATATGTAAATCTTGTAACACAATGCTTGCCAAAAAAGTGCTCAGTATATTCATTGCTGTTAATTATTCCATCACAAAGACATGCCATAGTTTACTCACTTAATCTCCTATCATTGGACATTAGGATTGGGCATTAAGTTATTGTATTACCAAGGGTTAGTTATTTAAACATTCCTGATTTTATATATGCATTTTATGCATATACTTAGGATTTCCTTACGGTAAAACTCTAAAAATGAGACCAGTTAAAGCAAGGTTGTTTACACTTCTAAAGCATTTGCTGCACATTCATAAATATAAATACGTACATTTAAATAATAGCATGCTCTTGTATTTGTAAAATCTCCCTGGGGATTTTCATTCAGCTTTCATTTTTGCTCCTTAAATCAAGAGGGAGGTGGTGAGAGCACCTGAAGCCTGTGAATGTTCGTGACCTTGCCATTCATAGCAGAGACCACAGGCAGGGAATCCCCTAGGAGCTTCCGTTCCCAGGGCTCCACCTGCCACAGAGGAAGCATGAGATGGCCCCTGCAAGATGACAATTGTTCCTACTTCTCTAGTTTGAGGTCTGACTTTCATTTTCATCCCATGACCTCCTTTGTTTCTCTTGGAGCCTTCAGGGCTGGCGTGTTCACTGCAGAAGTTACCATTCTGGCTCTCGAAAATGGGAACAGCCTTAGCATTGGGGAAAGCAGAGTCAAGGTGGGAAGCTCCAGGAGCCTGAGCTCCCTGCCACCTCCCTCCATCTGAGGGGCTGCCAGCAAAGTACGTGCCAGCTGTGTGGCCTTGGGCAGGTCAAGTCCCTTCTGTGACCCCCATCCTTCTCCCCTGGCAAACAAGAAGGGGCTGACTGAAAATACTGAAGCAGAAGAACAGTGAATCACAGGGATGGGTGTTCACAGTAGATTAGGTGGGGTAAGGGAGCAGGTTAAAAAAAGGGTGTTTACGAGAACCCCACTGTTATACACATGTATGGTGAAGGATGGCAGAATGGCCTGTGATTTTTTAAAGCTTAATTTGTTATTTTGCTACTCTCAGTTTTCTATGTTTTCCTTAATAGTATGTATCTTTTGTGGTTTTTAAAAAGGCATATAAATGTTTAATGAAGGGAGTAACATGAAAGGGACTCAAGGCCAGTCTTTGTTTTATATGCAGATATCTCTTGAACACCTCCCATGCACTAATGTGGCCGCTGGAGAGATTAGCATGATCAGCTGGCTCGCCCACGCACACACCTGGAAGTCAGAAAACAGGGAGCCTTAACTATGTCCTTCTTGGCTCTCTGGGTCTGAAAGGATGCCTTTAAGAAATCTCCAGTCGCATGTGAAGAGAATATTTGTGGATCGAATTCAGAGTTAACCAACCCAGGACACCAATAAGCCGGTTGGAATCAGGGGAAGCTCAGTAGATGGTCATGAACCGGCAGTCTGACTCATCCTGTCACCCTTCAGTCAGTCGGTTGGGGCCATGTAGACCCCAACTACATCACCCCATTCAGTATCCATTAGAGTAGCCACGTTTCCAAAACTCAGTTTACTACCATGTACCCAATTTTTGTCATTGCTGCAAAGCAACTGTACTATGGTTTTTCGCCATATTTATCATTAAATTGAATCATTTCTTATGGAAATAAATTAATTTTAAAGGAAACTTCATAGTACTATAATAATAAAATGGCAACGTTTGACATAAATTGAAAATAACTGTAAAAATAATCCCAGTGAAAACCAAACAGTTTAAATTCTCCCTTAATTCTCTTGCCTTTAGAATGCGGGACAGTTGCAGCCTGCTCTCTCTTGGTCAAAATGGGAGCTCAGGGAGCATCAAAGACCATCTAGCACCTTTCTCCACAACTGAATCAGAAAAAGTGAAAAATAATTGCACAGGAAATAATGATCTTAGAAAGCAAGATATTGTTCTGCAGTGTGGTGTCCATGTGTCACATAAAGCCTTCTCTTCCACCATCAGGGCTGCCCAGCCGCACAGGGAAACCCTGTCCTGGTGCCCACAGAGCCACAGCAGGAGCTGATCCTGTTTCCCAGTCTTGGGCAGTGTCCTGAGGGTCACAAGTTAACAGCAGGCCTGGACCTCGAGCACCACATGAAAGGTCCAGGCTGCTCGGTCAATTTCAGATGTCAAACACAGACCTTGGTTCAAGCTCAGAAATCAACAGGATGGACTCACATGACTGTCTTCCCTTCTCTTCTATAGGATTGTGCTGAGAGGACAAAAGATCATCAGCTCTGTTGTTCCCAAATCAAGTGGCATCTTTGACTTCCAGAAAGCTTATGGGCTAACTGAAGAGGAGGTATGGCTGCCATCTTGTCTTTCTGTGCCACCATCCTGGAAAGATGGGCTGTGTTATCCTTTAAGGCCACCACTGGAGACACAACATCAGGCCATTGGATCTTGAACCTCAATGCCTACAATTCTGTGATTTGAGGACCTGCCTAAATTTCTAATTGAGCTGGTCCAGGGATGTTGCTCACCAGTGTGTGTTCTTTTGTGACTGTGGGCATTTCATCTTCTCTCCTGGAGCCTGAATTTGCTCATCACTAAAATGAGAATATCTTCTAATTCTCAAATTTATCTCCCTTTTATCCTTACAGGCCCTGGAAGTCAGTGATCACTTTCCAGTTGAATTTAAACTACAATCTTCAAATGCCTTCTCCAAACGCAAAAAATCTGTCTTTTCAAGGAAGAAAAGCAAGGCCCGCCGCTCCTAGATATATGGGCAGCATTTTATTAATCATTCTTGCCTCTAAATAAAATAGCTCTAACAGGTTTGAACTGCTCCCTGCACTCAGGAAACAAGAATGGATCTACTGCTTTCATTTTTCAACTTGATCCAAATTGGGAAGAGAGTCTTCTCTTATCCCATGTGGGCTTGTACCTCCCCTGAAACTCCCCAAAGGAAATTGGGGCCTTTTACAGTCCAAAAGGATGGTCTTCGCATCCTGAGCTAGAGGCCCACCTGCTGTCATGGCCACTGCTCAGCTGCCTTGGAGAGGCTGCAGGAAGAGGAGGAACATCAGCCTTTAGTCTTCACAAGGGGACCCCGTTCCATGGGAAATGACCCGAAATGCCAGGGTCCCAACAGAACCCCATGATCTGGGCAATTTTCTCTCTGGGGAATCTGGCCCTGTTGTCTGAGGTCGTCTCACAGGGATGGAGGATGAAGGCCTCTCCCACCTAGTCTCCTGCCTCTGAATTGTCCTCCAGCTCAGCCAGCCCAGTAACCACCGGCATCATTCTTTGAAATTTCATTCTGACTACAAGCCACCCTCATTCCTATCCCCTGCTTATAAATCCTATCACCATTTGGAGACAGCGCAGAGATTTTGCATACCTCCTAAGGTCTCTAGAGCTGGCATATCACATCAGACTTACCTTCGTCTCACCTCGCACTTTATGCCCAGTGGGAGTGCCTCTTCCCTGCACCCAAGTGCCCTGTCCCACCGAAGTGGGCCCGGGCCCGGTGCCCCGGCCCCCATGTGTGCCATATCTCTATTTTAACATTCGCCACAGTGCATTTGTCACCAAGGTCACTGTTAGGGCTCCTTAGAAGAATTTACAGATCAAAGGCCCAGTTGGCTGGCAGGGACTTGAAGATTTTATTATATTTCTGCAACCAAAGAGTTGCAGAGAGGTCTAGTAGCATGGCACCTTGTTACCTGTGTCCTGTATGGTGGCCACTTATGTTTGTTTTGTTTGTTTTTCCTTATACTATTTCTTTGTTCAAGCAGCACATGGACATGGCTAACTACGCAAGCAGCACCAGAGAATAATCAGGGACAAGGAAGGCTGCACCCCAACCCCAGCCCCTTGTTTGCTGTCTCAGAAGCAACCCCTCTTCCCAGCTTATGTGTTCTTCCAGATCCTGTACATAAAGAAGCACCATGTGTAACCTTGACAAATACAGAAAATAAGATGCTATGGGCATGTTTCCGCTTTGCTTATTTCTCTTAATATGTTAGGGACATCATGGCTTTTTATGTAAAAATATTGACCATAAGCTTGATTTTTGAAATTTGGTAACATCTGAGGGAATAAAACCAAAAGGCCCTGCTGAAGCTGGGAAAGCCATTTCCCCCACGCATCCCATTAACCTCAGCGGGCTTGTTGGCACAAGCCGGGGAGGTGGCAAAGCTGTAGAACCTCTGTCACCTGTCTTCAGATAAGGGCTGCCACAGAAAAAGTCTAGTTTCCAAGGTCAAAAACAGTCAAGCAGGCAGTTCACAAATGAACTTCTTCTGGAGGAGAGATCACCCTTGTGCCCCAAAGGCCGACAGCATGGCTGGGACAAGAGTCTTGTGCTGGTGGCAGGGGACAAGAGGGGTGCAGGGGAAGTAGACCAGGCACTACGTGAAGCTTCCCACGGCTCTGACCTGGTCCTGCCACGCTGTCGCCTCCTTGGTGAAGAGACATCCCTCTCTCCCTGCACAGAGCAGGTTACCGGAGCCGTGGGCATCTGCCGGCTCTCAGTCTGGGCACACTCTGCTGGGCAAGAGGGCACGGAGGGGGGCTTTTCTCAGAGACCACAGCTAAAGGAGCTGCAAACATTCCTGTTGCCAGGGGGCACCTGGCCCAGGGGGAGCTCTTGTGGCCCTTAGGGGAATGTCCGCTGGCCGTCTGCACTCTTTCAGTGTTGCCTTTGTTCAGAGGGTGTGACACCTTTGTACACCAAGTCTGTGAGGTCCCAGGGGACCTGTCACCATGCTGACCCTCAGACCCCGGCCCCCCAGCCCCCCGCCCCCGCCACACACACAGAGCCCGTCTCAGGAGGTCTGGAACAGAGCCCAGGAACCTGCATATTTAACAAGCTCCCACGTGACAGGGGCCAGATTTTTCCTTTGTTAACTATTTATTGAGGATCAGAATTTGAACTCGCACTCCTGGCCCTCCTTAGTGAGAAGAGGTATAGCATGGTGTAGGGGAGAGGCTCACTTTGGAGCCATACTCTGCACAACCTACTAGCCGTGGGAGCAGGTCATTTACCGTCAGTTCCCTTATGTATAAAATGGGGATAATAAGAGAATCAACCTCATTGATGAAGTTGAAGTAAGATAACACATGTAAAACGCCAAGTGTCCTGACACGTAGTAAGCCCTCCACAAATGGAGGCCTGTATTTTTATTAACAAGACTTGCTCCATTAAAGGGTAGGCCACTTTAAGTGTTTGGATATGTATGGCTCTCATTTAATTATTTAGAATGAATTTTTGCCTTCCACTTTTTATCATTCACCACAGCAAGTATTTTGGCAAGCGAGCTTTGAGAAATAGAGATGCCCCTCTTTCCAGTCCTTGTTATTTTCTCTTCCTCATCATCAGCCCTTTCCTGCCTCAAACACAAAAATACCGCACCCTCCCCGTGACGTTGGGAGTGAAGGGAGTGCCTCCAAGTGAGCAACCTGGCTCCCATCTCTCCCTTGGGCTAGAGAAGGAAGTATAAAGGGTAGTTCCAAACCTGAAAAGGAACTGGAGGCCACGTCCCTCTACCCAGCCAGGTGGGTGTGTGGGAGAGCAGAGCCACTAGGAAGGTTGACCCCTGCATTGGCCGCCACAGGTCCCCATCAGAGCTTCTACCCAGGTTTTCCTGAAGGCAGAGGTTACAATGAACCAGCATTCCCATGTCTGTTACCCACAGGTCACATCCTGAAGGAGGAGTGGGTAACTTCATGCCACAAGACCCTGGCCCCGGTAGCTCGAAGCTTTAGGATTCAGAGAAGCTACTGAAATTGAGGGAATTTCCAGGAAACAAGGGTGTGTGTATGTATGCTCGATTCTTCAGAGAAAATGGGTTGGGAAACAGTGAGCGCCTTGAATGGAGCACTAGTTGAATGACTGCTTGGTTTCCCAAGTCTCCATGCAGGTGAGACAAAGCTGCAGACAGTTGCCAGCCTTCCCAGGCCACGGGCAAAGGGCGCTGTCCTCGCCCAAGTCACAGATTCTTGCTCAGTTAGATCAGTAGCTTCCTCACTAGTCTCACCACCTCCCCCACTGCCCCTGTCCTCTCTTTTCCCAGCAGCCAGGGTGTGCTTCCTAAAATGAGAATTTCATCCTCCCTTTCCCCTGCCTAAAACCCTCAATGGCTCTCCATTTCTCTCTGGATAAAGGCCTAAGTCCTTACTATAATCTACAAAGCCCTGTATTTTTTGTCTTTCACTTACCTTTCCAAATCCATTTTCAGCCGTTGGTATGTTGTAGCCATGCCGCTGAGTTCCTCTGTTCTTCGCGCCCTCCCCAGCCTCCAGGCCTTTTCACGCGCTGCTCCCCTCTCCTGGGTCACTCTTCTCCCCGATTCACTGAGCAAACTTCCCATTCCTCAAAACTCTGCTTAATCATCGCTTGCTCAGTCAGGGAGACTGTCTCTGATCAGTTCCCCCAATCAATTTTGGGACCCTCAGTTATACCTTCCCATGGTCCCCTGTATGGCTCCTTCTTAACCCTCATTACATGTGGGATTACTTGCCCAATGTCTGTTCCCTGTCCCCAGCCTAGAGCCCTTGTGAGGGCAGAGCTGTGTCTTCTTAGGCATTGTTGAAGAAATTTTTGTGGAATTCATTAAACTCAGGGAGCACTACTGGGCCATGTTGGAGTAAAAGACCATGGCCTGTACCAAGAACCGAATGTTGGCAAAAGGCTAACACCTGATTTAAAAAAGGAAATGTGAATTGAAGGCTAAAACGAAAGGTCTCTTGAAGTTGGGTCACTTAAATTATCTTGCAATCATGTGTAAGTTTGTTTAATTAGTGTGAAATCTCTTAATGTGCACTGTTAGTTGTTTATCTACATTGAGTATTGCATGGGAAACTAAAATGTTAAAAACATACAGCCAATGGTGTGAAATTCTCATGTTAAAAAAAAACAATAAGAACTAAATGTGGTCTTGTGCATATTTTGGCTGAAATTCTGTGAGGCTACTATTGGGTGACCCTTAAATCATTCTTGTCTTTGATTATTGCATACAGGGAAAGATTCCTCTTTTCACATTGTTTTTTGGGGGGTAAGGAGAAGGTTGCAAAATAAACAACCTTGAACGAATAGGAAATTCAATAGGTTGTTTAAAGGGACTTGCTTAAGAAAAATAAGATCAAAACTATAAACAATAAAATGGCAATAAAAGCATATCTGTCAACAGACGACTCTAAAAAACAAACTAAGCAAACAAAACAGAGACAGAATCATCGATATGGGGAGCATTTTGATGGTTGCCAGATGGGAGGGGAGTATGGAGGAGTGGGTGACGAGGTGAAGGGATTAAGAAGTACAAATAAGTAGTTACATAATAGCCATGGGGATGTAAAGTACAGTACAGGAAATAGAGTAGCCAAAGAACCTGTGCCTATAGGAAAATTGCCTATTCATTTTGACATTACCAGAGCTCTTGTTAGAGCTCCTCTCCCACAGACGTTAAGAGCTGAGCACAGACGCATGAACTTACTCACCACTGACAATGACATTGAACGTAGCGAGCTTATTTCCATCACTATGTTTTTTTGAGCTGCTCTATGTCTTAAGAGGGGCCAGAGGTACATTTTTTCACTGAAATAGAAAGTTGTTTTAAAGAACACTTCACAAATATAGTCCTTTGACATTATTATTACTTGCTCATGTGTTTTTACATTTTTGTATGTTAATTTTTGAGTTATTTTTTCAGGAAAAAATACATATCCAAGAACCAAAATAAATTAAAGTCAATAGCCTCTATAAAGTTATCCTTTTTAAAAAAAAAAAAAGACAGAGAAAATATTTGAGCAAAAAGTAGTAGACACTGGGTAGTAAATTGTTGTATTTTTTTCTTTTAGAAATCCAGATGGAAATACCTAATTTAAAAAATTAGGGAGTGCTCCGGCCGGTGTGGCTCAGCTGGTTGGAGTATCGTTCCATAAAACAAAAGGTCATGGGTGCTATTCCCAACCAGGGCACATGCCTAAGCTACAAGTTTTGTCCCCAACTGGGGCATGGATTGCGTATGAGAAGGTCCAAGAGGAATTGATCGATGTTTCTCTCTCACATCAATCTTTCTCTCTCTCCTTTCCTTCCCCTTTCTCTAAAATCAATAAGCATGTTTTTGAGTGAGGGTTAAAAAAAAAAGTTAGGGAGTGAATATTGCTGGCATAAATTAAGGATTAAAAAATTAACAGTGCCTTTTGTTGTATTAAAGTTTCTCAAAGAATATTTGAAGGATATAAAATGGGATGGCAACAGGACACAATAACTAAAACCTCAAAATTCACCTAAACGTAAACTTCACTGTGGGCCCTTGAACTTACTCTTTACCTTCTTGCCTCAGGCCTCTGCACATGCTGTTCCCTCTTCCTAAAGCACCCCTCTCCTCTTAGCCCCTCTTCCCTGCAAGCACAATGTCTCTCTCTCCATAGGTCTAAGGCTTTCATGGACTTCAAAACTCCATGCAAATTTCCCCTCCTGTAGCACTAACGCTATACACACACCCCTTTCCCATGGGTCTACCCAGTGGGCACTTACTCCCTGAGTGACCCAGTTCCAGCTGATTGGAACAAGCCCATGTTCATACCTCTATGAGTTCCTTGATGACAGGAGAAAATACGTGTTAGTCATGTGCAAAAGCTCCTGCTGACCGTCTCTTCTTCAGGAAACTCTTTTAATTCCCTCATCAAATACCCTGAAAGTTTCATTTAATGTTTCCAACTAATTTATTTTGAGATTCCTGCTTGTTTGAGATATTTCAATAGTTTCATAGTGGTTAGAGCTGAAAGTACCTTTAAAGATAATAGTAATAACAACTGCCATTTGCCAAAACTTGCTCTGTGTCAGGCTGTGCTCTAGAAAGACAAGGTGTACACTATCTCACTAAATTACAACCACAGCACTAAAATGGTGGTGGGGTCTGTTGCATCTCCATTTTATAGATAAGGAAACTGAGTCCCAGAGAAGTTAAATAATTGCC